CCTACCGGGACAAACCTGGAGGGCCCTATTCACTTCGCTGGGACCGTAGGAACAACGATCCCTGGAGGAGTGTCGAGGATAGAAATCCTCGGACGCTGACTGATTATCGTACGAGGGGAAGAGAGAGAGACGATGAGCCATGGCGACGTAGGGATGATGAGATAGACCGAGACCGCAGAGATCGCGAGCCATTTGCGCGAGCAAGAAGGCTGGATGATTACCCGCGAAGCCCTCGCTATGAGGCTGATCGGGGTAGAGGCGACTCCCGCGGCCGATGGGAGACAGATCAGGGCCGACGAGATGGACATAGGGATGACAGATACGAGAGATCGGACCGAGATGGATATAGGGACGACAGATACGAGAGATCGGACCGAGACGGATATAGGGATGACAGATACGAGAGGTCAGGTCGAGATGGTTACAAAGGTGGTAGGTATGAGAGAGGAGATCGGGACTGGGAACGACAAGATGGGTCGCGCGGACGGTTTGAGCGTGGGGTAGATGCAAGAGAGCAGCGCGACGAGTCGCGGGGATGGTACAACCGAGGGGACCGCCGGAATGATTCGCGAAGGCCGTATGAGCAAGGAGGGTCTGGAGGAGACCGCCGCAACGATTCGCGCGGTCGGAATGAGAGAGGGGAATATGGCGTCTCATCAGAACCATATCCCAAGTCGCCTGACCCCAACACAGCCAGGAGTTCGATCTCGAGAAGCGCAGACGACAGGCCATCTACTCCGAGGAACTCATGCGTCTACTGTAGAGGAGAAGATCATATCAAGAGGGATTGCCCGGACCTCAAACGCGCAATAGATGAGGGACTTGTCGTGCTTGACGAATGCAAGTACGTCAAGTTGGCAGATGGTCTGGGAGATGTATCGATGTTCCCTTCGATGAAGGAGAATGTAGAAGCAAGGAGAGTAAAACCGAGTAAAGAAAATGAGCTGGTCAGGAGCCAGAGCATCAAGATAACCTTTGAGGGGGATATGGCGGCCACACCCATAAGGGTGGCAGCCACCAAGTCGGCGAGAGGGTCCACATCGAAGAAGACTGACACGGATTACGTGATGACGGAGAAGGACGGGCAGCGGGTCKATGGAGAGGAGGTTATYCTTTCGCCACGAAAGAGGGGAGTGAAGAAGTTCTTAATGAAGAGTTCGCTGGACGAGATTGACACGGTCGAGCCACTGAGGCGGGCCCTTCGGCAACCCATGCAGTGCTCTATTCTGGAGTACCTGGCGGCATCGAAGCCGGCTCGTGATGAGTTACAGATGATCACGGGGAAGACTCGCATACCTCTATCGGAGGAGGGTCAGGGGGCCCGTAAGGCGGAAGCTCCTACAGTAGCAGTAACGGGGGTGACTGCCAGAGCAGATCGCATGGGACATTCCTTCTCGATGGAATGGAAGGTGTGCCTCCAGACAAGTTTTATATACTTGGTAGCGGGGCCGTGAAGACGATTATAAACGATGGAGCGATACTCAATGCTGTGATCGATAACGGCAGTGAGACTGTCATCATAAACGAGGACCTGGCAGTACAGGTTGGACTAGGCCTCGATAGGTCATACCTATTCGAGATAGAGACGGCTGATGGGAGAAAGCAACAAATCACTGGGGTTTGTCACAAGGCAACCATAGAGGTCCAAGGGGTACGAGTGACCCTGCCTATTTTTGCAGTCAAGAATTGCAGCTCCGACCTACTCTTGGGTCGAACGTGGCTGAGCCACGTGCATGCGGTGACGATAGAGCGACCTGATGGGAGCCAAACATTGTCCATTAGGAAGCCAGACGGGACGCGGGTAATGATTGAGACAGTGGAGCCTCGGAACCCGAGGAACAGAGCAGCTCTCGCTGTGGGTGCAAGACCCAGTGATCAGATTAAGTCGTTACCTATTTCCGGCCGCGCGGTGCGATTTCGCGAGAAGAGATATGAACCACTGCTCACAGAGGAAGAAGGTCGGATCGTGGA